AGTGTCTTATAGGATATATGAAAATCTTAGTGTTAGAATGCAAATGATGGAAAAGTGTTGCCCAGAACTATTTTTCTTTTGTCTCGAGATTGGAGAGAAGTTTCTTCCCCGAGACTGTAGAATGGACTTCTTATGCTTCCACATAAACTACTAATCCACAGATTGGCACGACAACATCCATGGTGTAGCTGAGAACTCAAGCACAGGACAGTCGGCTACAATGTTCACACTATAACATGTTAGTAATGATGCATAAAGAAGTAGGTAACGGTATAACAAGATAGCAGTTGGTGAAATTTACATTAAGCTAGTTTTCTTCTGTATTTCTAGTTTGTATAGTGGAGATCTCTATGTAACATCTTTTAAAAGGCAGATGACGATGTTATCACCGGCATTCACACACAACATTATTTTTACAGCATAGAACAAAGGGGTCAAGGTACCTACAGGAGAACATGTAGTTCTCAGCGGTTCTGGCTTGACATGAGGTTATACACATTGCATAAACAAGCATTCCTCACAATGATCTTTTCATAGATGCTGATCAATTGTCACGATGGCAGATACCCATGGTCTTGCGAGAGATGTCTTCCACCCTGTGTGATGCTTTAGCATTAGCATCTGTTGTAGACAGAGAATTAAACTGCTGGGGAGGGGTGGGCCTACCTGGTGGGGAGGTGACACAGGGCAGGCCTACCTGTTGGGGTAGGTGACACAGGGCACCCTGCCCGTGTGGCTCTCATGCAGCCAGCGGTTGGCCAGCGCCTGCTGGATGTTGGGCCTCTTCACGGGGTCAGGCTCCAGCAGCGAGCGCAGGAAGCTGACGGCTCCTGTGGAGACATTCGGCCCAGACGCCCGGTTACAGGGGGAGGCAGACGTCAGGGAGACTCAGGCAGGGGACCCGCCTCCCAACCATACCCCCACCCGGAGCCGGCCCCTGGCTCTCTGGGGCCACAAGTCCACGGAGTCTAGGACGCTGTCCAACAGGTGCACCTGGGGCCTGGTACCCACACTGCCCAGTGCCCCTGTGCCCTGCACCACCCTCTGAGCGAGCCCAGCGATGACCCAGGTCCCGGCTCGAAGGGATAGGAGAGCAATGAAAACACACTCCTCCCATGGCAGGTCTCCGTGCTCGGAGGAACCAGGGGTCAGGGCCCGGAACCAGACCCTCTAACGCAGTGGTCGGCAAACTGCGGCTGGCAAACCACGTGCGGCTCTTTGGCCCCTCGACTGTGGCTTTTCCACAAAATACCACGTGCGGGCGCGCACGTACAGTGCGATTGGAACTTCGTGGCCCATGCGCAGAAGTCGGTATTTTGTGGAAGAGCCACACTCAAGGGCCAAAGAGGCGCATGTGGCTCACTGAGCCACGGTTTGCCGACCACCGCTCTAATCCAATAGGAGAGCTACCTTTATATATAAAAACCACACACACACAAAC